TTTCCACAGTTAAGATGTGATTGGATCCCACAATTAAACGAAATACTCCCACAACACAAGGTCATTTCAAGCACAGAAATCCAGTGAAATTAAGCTGTTCTCGGAGCGTTCGCTATGCTCCCCAATCTGAACAGGGGAAAAGAATTTGAGGAATTAATGCATGGCGTTGTGCTTTTTTTTGTACTTTGATATATCTTAGTATTTTGTGTTCATACAATAAAATACAATACAATTTATTCTTGTATAGCCCTAAATCACAACAGAAGTCGTCTCAGAGGACTTAACAAAACCATTGAAATCACCAACACAGATCAGAGAATCAACAGTTAGAACACATAAAGAATATAGAACACATGTTGATAAAGGTCCATACATGTTGTAGAATGTTAAAGTGTCCTGGATCATCACCGCAGTCCTCCTTGTTAGACACTAACTGCCCAACAGACCCTCCTGCATCGACAAGGAAAACACACGTACACACACACACGCGCGCACACACATGCACACACACTGTTGGTCCCAACAAAAGAAATCTTGTACAAGTGCAATGTTGTGCAAAACTGCTTCAGCCCTGGGAGCCGCAATCAGAAAAAATATCAATTTTAGGTCAGCTAATTTAACCAAAATTATTTCTAATTGCTCAATGCCACAAAAGATTATATTTCAGAATAGTTTTCATATTACATGGTTAACAAACATTTCTTTAGTATTTATTCAGAATTTCCTTTAAAACTAGTTAAAATTATAGCTTTGTATAATTTAATGAAATAAACTTAAACAATTAATAATTACCCATGAATTCAACATTAATAAAGTTTTTTTTTTTTTTTTTCTCAAAACGGATGGCATGCATATATTATTAAAATGTTTGTCCTAAAGTCCAAATATATATTGGTCAGGTGATGCAACTCTGATGCGTCCCACTTTTAGTGCTGGGCAAAAGTATGAAAATAAATGATTAAAGTTATTTTTATAATTTATTCTTTGCAGTTGTACCACCTGACTTCAGCTAATTTTACATTTGCCAGACCTCTGTGTGGGCACTGACAACAGCTGGGGCATTCATTAGAACGTAAAGGGACAGTAAGAGATATAGTCATGTGGTCTGATAAAAATCTTACAATTTCTTTACAAATCTAACTTTTGTTGCCAGAATCTTCTGGTTGGTGACACGTCCTAAGCATTAATTTCTGATACCGTCCACCTTTTAAAAAATCATATATGATGGTACTTATTTGTAGTACCTAAATGTGAATACATGCATGGTAATATTTTCTGTTTGTGAATTTTGAGGAATAAAAATCTAAATATGGTGCAAAGTGGATAGCACTCTCGCTTCTCAGCAAGAAGATCCTGGGTTTGAATCCTGGATGGAACAAGGTGTTTCTGAGTGAAGTTTGCATGTTCTCCCGGTGCCTGCGTAGGTTTCCTCCGAATGTTCCGGTTTCCATTAAAAACATGCACAATATGTCAAATCCTCCAGCTGCGATAGTCCTGACCAAGCTGAGTATCAGCATCTGGAGATAGGTCTCCCGGTGCTGTACTACGGCGACCACTGCTCCTGATGGAAGCCTTAGGATGGGTCAAATGCAGAGGATGAGTTTCCCTACGGGGACAATAAATTGCATGTTTACATTTACATTTGGATCACTGAGATGCAGGACATCTCGCTTTGCTCTCAGCTTTCTTCCTCAAGCTGTTATCAGTTTAAACGGAGCACTTTAATGATCGTATATGTCCTGAAACTGTCTTTGTTGATTGTTTCACCGTGACAATTGTTTTACTTTTGTTCTTTTAACCTTGTGTTTATTTATGTTCAGTCTGGTGCACACTGGGGACTTTTTGCAAATGTATTCCAATGTGGTTTTACTGCAAATGGCAAATAAACTGAATCTGATTAATTTACATTTTATTTTTTAAATCTAAAACTGGTTAAGCCACACAAGCTTCTGCTCTCTGATGGGTTACTCTGCGTGAAAATCATAAACATAAATATTGTCGCCATCATGGCCGTTGAATAAGATGAAGTCAGATATGTGACCTGTTCTCTGTGGACACACAACTTGTAGATGTACTTTAAAACGAAAAGATTACATTCTGTCCCTAAATTAAACAAAACGTATATAATAATAATAGTATATTATATAACAACATATTCATAGTTTTAAATTGACACCTGACATCAAATGTGTAACACTTTAGCTATGCATTGGTAAAAATCCATGTTTACATTGACTGATATTTACATTCATTTTTACTTGGAAAAGAGATCAATAAGATTCTTCTGGACGATTAAACGTTTCTTTTCCTTTTGTTGTTACTTTCTTTCATTTTTCAAATAATGTATCTTTGTTACGCTTGTACCGCACTGACACTGATATTGGATAAAAGGTTTCAGTGACCAAACAGGCAAAAGTTATTTAGTGACCAGTTTTAAAGGTAATTTTATTCACACATATTTGAAAGATAATCGTGTCATAATGTTTTATTTTGAGTATATTTGTGTTAGATGTTTTCTGAGACCGTATTTGGACGCCACCGGTCACTTTGGGGTTTGAGGTGGAAACATTAACAAATACATGGAATGTTTAATCATGAAACATTAAATGAAACAAAACTGATGAGAACAAATAGTATTCTTAAAGTCATGATATACATTGGCATTGATTTGCTTACACACTGCATTCCAGTTGCGAGTCATTATGCTAATCACAGAAAATATGCAGATTCCAGTTGTTTGTAGTTACCCCCTAATAGAATAACAACAATCACATGTTTATGAAGCAGCCACATTAGCCCTGATGCTGCTTGGCCATTATCCCATCTTCCTGTGAAAAGGGTCTTGGGTGAATGGAGAGGCTGAAGTGCCTTAGTCACAGACGTCTGCGCTCTGCAAAGGACTAAATGGACTTTTCTGTGGATCTTCTGTTAAATCTTGTGATAGAAACCGGGCTGTAACACAACTATGCAGAGGACAGGACTACTGTAGATATCTGGTCCCTGAACAGAGGCTGACAGCAATCTAAGATGGACACAGCACATTTATTTATATTGTGTCAATAATTTGTACATTTCTCCTGTTTGAGATCAATAAAGTCTTTATCTTAAAAAGTTAATCAATTAATCTTAGCTAATCGATTATAGTTGTCATCTAATTTATTAATCAATGAATAATTTATTGAGCCTTGCATGGACTTTAACATGCTGAGAAGAGGTTTTATGACTCAGATAATTCTATAATGACTGCAAAATGAAATACAAATGAAAAAGTCATCTCTACAAAGATGTTCTCAAGGGGCATCACTTAAGCTTTGTTTTGGCTGGACAACTAATTGATTAACAATATAATCATTAATATAAGAAATAGAAAAATAGGTGGTGTCCTGGCAGATAACAATAAGAAACAACATGTTTAACAACACTGTTCACAAAAACAACTGTACCTTTATAAGGATTAGAAAAAAGTATTTTTGTAGAGCCCTAAATCACGACAACGCTCTTCTCTGAGGACTTAACAAAGGTGAACATTTGCCAACATAGATCAGCAAATCAAACAGTTTGAATAAAGGAAAATCAATAATAACACATAGGGGCTATTAATCCATACAGGATGGTTAACCAATGTCCGTAAATTCCATGACTAAAATAATACCCTGGGGAACCAGACTTTGAAACCACAAGAACATTACTGGAATAAAATCCATCTAACTAGTGCGGTAAGGCAGACCAAAATCCAAAGTGTTCATTGTCTGTCATGTAAGATGCCAACAGACCCACAACATCGAGCTGGACCAATTACAGTTTTTCTTGTTCCACTGGAGCTCTGCAAACTCAAGGAAACTATTTTTAACCTCAATGCACTGAGCTTTCTACTATACAACTGCATTTAGCTTGAAAGGAAGTATAGAGTCCAGGTTGGAACCCAGCAGCGACACGTTGATACCAAGCATTTGAACAAACAGAGTATGTACAGTGTGGCTCAGTGTGAATACATGTCAGCTAATACCAGCTCAGTTGAAAGAGGTTGCTATCATGTACTCTCATCATATCTTTTGATGTTTCATAATTAAGCACCAGGCTAGCACAACTGTGTGTCATGGAAACCAAGCATAAAAGATGTAACTTGCAACAGATTGAAGTCAGCTTGAGTCCTCCGAATGTGCCATCTGACAAAAGAGGAGCTGCTGTACTTAAGGTCACAGTGTTTTGAAGTTATTGTCAGGAAATTACAGAGGTACTTTGCTCCTCTATAGCATGGACAAGAGATAATTACCGGAACTAAACGATCAATTGTCTATACTATAAAACATGTTTGTCAATAGTGTAGTATTTCTAGAAAACCTGAAGTTGTCCTTTTGTCATTTGTAATGACCCCCGTCTCCATTAGACTGAACATTGATTCGACAGCAACAATACAATTGTAGAAAAGGTTTCAAAGGTAGTCATCCAAATGCCTCCAATACTCAAACCTTATTTTCTTTTATGATTGAATACATTCACCTGTCACTACATGTTTTCTTGTTTATATTGTCTGAATAAATACAAATCACTAATTCAAAACACATTACCACCATATACTTTAATTTAAACAGTTTATTGTTTTAAACAAAACAATACACGGTTTCAAGTACAAAATACTGTAATTTTCAGTAGCAATGACCATGACCATGACCATATGAACTCAAAGGTCATTATAAATTAAATACAAATTGATCAAGAAAGTAATTTTAACACTCCAAACATGGCACAATAAAAGACAGATGTACTGTATATCTGTCAAGTACTAACACAGGCTTGCTCTTTTACAAATTATCATTTCATTTTAGAAAAAGCTGTATTAAACTGTGAAAATTTATCTTTTATGTGTCAATATAATCCTTTTTTGAGGTTTCACGGTGCTTTTATATCCTTATAAAATCGCATTCAGTTCTTAAACCTTGAATCTTTTGTTACAAACAAATGCAGATGAATGCTGATGCCCCGCAGCAGACAAATCGCGGTCAGTAATGCTCTCCCATTATTAACACCGTGAGCGCTGACCAGCCGGTAAAAGGGTGGCTTCCTTGGCCTCTGCCAGTGCTGTCATTGTACTGCTCCCAGATATAGCCCGTTTCAACATACTGTTTAAAAACATTATTGACAATGTTAGTCCTGAGTTCTTTATAAAGACCAGCGGCCTTCTCTTGGTACGGCCCGTTTGTGTTGCTGTAGTGATGGAGGGCTCGCACTGCCAAATAGTTGATGTTAATCCAAATGGCACCCCTCCAGTAGGGGGCATCATGCTCCGTGTTTCTCATCATGTATAGGGGATCGGCTTTGGACAAGGACCGCAGGCCGTATGGTGTCCAGAGCTTATTGGGATCCCTCATGTCTTGGAAGATTTGTTCCAGTTTGTGCGAGTCTGGCTGAAGAATGTGCAGCAGGAAGGGGAACAGGCTGACGTAGCCAAGAGCGTTGACAAACTGCAGCTTAGGGGCTTTGCGGACGTAACGCACAAGTCGAGCTACAGGGAACTGATGCCGCGGCTGTCCGGGAGGCACATACACCTTCTCTTGTTGTAGCGAGACGGACTGTGTGTGGTTCCCGAAATCGCTGTAGGCCCTCAACTGTTCCGACCAGTGCAGCTCATTCAGCAGACCGTTATCGCTGAGAATGTTGTGAGTGGCTTCATAATCTTCATGAGGCTCGCCGAGAAGTTGAGCTATCCGTGCCATGATCCCTGAAGACATTGCCATCCAACAGTGCAAGTCTATGTGCCGTTCATCTGCGGAAGGATGCGACGCACGGGGGTAGTCATCTAGTCCGGACGTTAGCGTTTTAGGATTGAGAAATAAGTTGGTGTCTTTGTCACGTCCTCGCCAACGATACGAGTTTGGTTTGGGGCCAGTCTGAGTGGTGTTGTACCAGCCAAACCAAGTTTTCAATTTGGGAAAAAGACGTTGGAGAAAAGTTAACGTTTTCTCATCTGGATTTGACGACAATTGTCCGATGAGATCCTGGAGTGCTAAAAAAAGAGTGGGAGGATTGGCGTTTTCATTGCGTTGAACGATGAACTCGCCTGGGACTTTGCTACGGGCTTCGTCTCCCAAAATTTGCTCTCGCGGAATCCATCCTTCAATGTTCATGAGATCGATCCAGTGTGCGATGGCCTCTCTTGTCACCTCAGGGTCCCACTTACTCAAAAGCAGCTGGTGGAAGCCTTCGTCCCAGAGAAACCCACGGGGGAAGAAGGAGCGAGAGGGTACAGCAGTGTAGAGGGAACCTTCAGGGTACAGAAGAGGGTACTCATTGTAAACCGACTGAACCACTGACTGCCCGTAGAAGTAGCCCATTCCGCCCAACATGTTGCTGAGTGCCGCTTGTGCAAATTTAATATTTGCCTGATTAAATCCTTTGCTTTCAAGCCTAAAGGTATTTTCAAACTTTGCGCTGAACTCTGCCTTTCTTTTCTCCAACTCTTGTGTCAGAGTTGAACCCACAAGCTGGTTTGGACGGTTAGAAAAGCTGCCGGATTCGAACAAAACTTCCACCTGGAACGGTGTCTGGACTGTGACTTGGTGAACCACAAAATCGCTCTCCTTTCTCGTGTCCTGTGGTTTCTGCTGGTTGGGATGATGTGGGGGCCTATAGACGTCTACACCGATGTAATGCCTTTTCTCTCCAGATGAAGGACTGTAGACAAACCTGCGATTTAGGCTATGCTTCACAATGTCGGATAGTTTCTCCAAACCAGGGCTGACAGTCTTCAGATAGTTATAACTGAAAAACAGAATTATTTTACTAGTGCTTGTTCAAACCACAGAAAACAGAGCAATTTGCCTGGTCGGTTGAATACTGGCATATAGTAAACATTCATTATTCATTGTACAGATAAAGTTTGATTACTTAACTTTTTTTGTTTCAGAAATATTTTTTGTTGCAACAGAGAGTCTTATTTACGTAAAATGTTGTGAACAAGTCCGACAGCAACATTCTTTCATTATCCTATGAGAAAATCTGTTATTTTGCTGAGAGCTTATTGGATGAATGAGGGCTGGTACTCTCTGTTTAACTAAAAAATCTGATCTAAAGATGTGACCAAAAACACGTGCGGATGAAAGCTAGTGATAGAACCAAGATGTTTTGAGAGTGAAGACCAAGTTATATTCTATTACATAGTTATTTATTGTGGCTTCAAAGCCAGTTACTCCCATTTTAATACAAGAATATTTGAATATCATGTAGAAAAATAGTCTACATTGTGTTATTTTGATCAATACTTAATCAAGTGCCCAGAAAGCCATATTTGTCACAATAGTTTTATTCTTATTTAAGACCAGTTACTACTGGATCATATTCACTATTGGAAAGGAATGATTGGTAGGCCCAATGCTGCCATCTAGTGGACAACACATATACCTCTAAAAAGGGGGCAAAAGGCATGTGCAGAAAGACTATAGCTAGTCTTATCGTTTACCTGGCATATTTAGCACTGGAAGGTTCACCAGTGACAGGTTTTCGGAAAGTGATCTTGAAATTTCCCAGCTCCTCGGAGGAGCCGGTGACGGAGGCCAGGCGTGTTTTCTCCTCCACGTGTGCTTCCAGAGAACCCTGTGTGTCTGCTGCAGCATAGAACATCAGGGAGAGAACAGGAGCGTGGGGGGAGGAGCTCTGAGGGCACAAAGCACAACATCAGCCTTGAAAAGATCACTGTGAGTCACTATTTTACTCTTTGGGCTGAGAGCTGATAGGTTTAGTCAGGGAGGTCTTTGGGTAAAGTAAAACCTGCATGTGATAACTAGGTAAGACTAGGTATCCCAGTTTGAAGGTGAACGTTTCCTGATTTATCAAAAAATAGATTTGAAGCGACAACAAGTTACTATTAAAAATGAACAGTTGTGTCTTTCCTGCCGGTTACAACTTTATGCCCCTAAATGGACGTCGACATCAGATGGAAAGTCCTATCAAAAAACAAAATACATTGGCTTTACTGATATCATAGAGACAAAAAAAGATTCTCGATTGGAGCAATATTTGATATCAGCAAGATCAACATCTGTGTCTCCCAAATACTGGTTTGGGTAATTTGTCATTGTTCTTTTGTGCGCAGTAGTGGGAGACAGAGGACTCACATGTTGTTTGGCAGTGATCCTCCATGTCCAGTCTCCTCCGTGACCACCTCCCATCCGCTTCACAAACTCTGTGGTTAGGGTAAAATCATTATCTCTTATCTCCTGGACACCGAAGTTGGTCCCATCATGCATCAGCCAGCCGTAGCTCTGCAAACGGTCCCCCTGTTCACACGTGTGCCTCAGATTTATGTCAACATCGGAGAACTGACGCATCCACATCATACCTGGGGAAAGCACATTAATTATATTTCACATAAATCCATTTAACTACATTTATTTTTGTACAGCCCTAACTCACAACAGTAACACAGGAAATGCAATAATACAAATGAATTAGGAACAATTTCCATAAATGTTAATATAGGTCCATAGATGTTATTATATATCCTGGATCATCACATAGAAATAGATAATCTAACTTTCAGAATAAAACAAATGGGTTTTTTACAGATAATAGTCTTAAGTATAGCATAACAGAAGCACAGTACATCTTATTTACCAGTGACAATTGGCCTTGGACTCCGCGTCTTCATGCCAAAGTAAACCTGCGGCCTGTAGGTGCCCCAGAATCTCTCTGGTGAGACCTTGGCACTGCTGCTATTGGCATCCAGAACAGGGGCTGCCGGATGTAAAGTCACCACCCTTTTGGCTAGGCTTGACCGCATATATAAGGCATAGAAGAACCAGATGAGGCTGAATATGCAAAGGCCAATGGAGATGTTGATGAAGACTTTGCCAATATCAACTTTCTTTTTCTTCTCCTTCCGATGAAATGCAGAAGGCTTGTCATCTTTCCTTGGAGGTGGGGGTGCTTCCCCGGTCACCACCCTTTTCCTCTGCCTTCCCATCCTGCCAAAGCTGCAAGTATGTACAAGAACTGTCATTTTACAATCCTAATGATTAAAATGTGAAGTGAATACATACACTAAAAGAAATACACACATCTATCAGATATTTCACAGGCCACAGTTAGTATCTGGCATGTGATACCGTTTTCCAGTTTGACTAATATCCTAACCCTCCAAAATGCAAAAAACGATCAGACTAATGTGCACCTGTATAGTATTGATGCGGCCTCTACAACATCTTGATATGTCACGCCTATAAGGTGGGATCGATTGAAAAATGCTCATAGAAACATAAACAGGTGGATCTACTCAGCATAAATACAATGTATGTATAGGAAATGAGAAAAGAAAAGGCTGTGGTCATTTTTTTTTTTTTAAATAACAAATCCCATAAATGTTGGAGCTGCTATATCAGTGATTAAACCAAATCAACGCCTTAACTTACATTACAATGGGATGTGGAGATAATCAATATGCATGTCCCGTTCTCCGAGACAGGCAATAATCTGGGCCCGATTACAATGCTAGAATTGCTACATTAAATGGTTTTCGTCTAGGAGCCTGAAATATTCTGCTCGCTGACACACCAATGAATGGAATTCTACACGCTGCATAGTGCATACACAGGTGACAGAAACCCTCTTATGCGATATTATCGGAATTGTGAAATGCTGCATTTAAGCGCAAAAGACGATACATGTTATTTATAAATATAATAAATGTTCACCGAGTAAATACTTTTCTACCTGTCAAACCTGCACGATTTCAGCTGCTCATGTCTTCCGCTAGCCGAGAAGCTACTTCCTGGTTACCACGCAGTTTCCGCTGACGTGTACTCAGCGTGAAATAATAAATAATATTGCATCAAATACAAAGCCCACAGCACGTGCCGTCATAGCTATATACTATTATATTTGGGAACAAATGAAATATTTCTTTCACATACATACATATTTTACTCTTTTCTTTTTCTCACGTGTTTCATTTTCATACAATCATTTTTAAATCCTGACTGAATACCACCTTTTCGAATGTGTAAACATTACATTTAATATTTATTCTTATAAAATGATCGCGTTTCTCAGTAAATAATTCGTACTAGTTTTCTGGTATGCTTTTCGTGTAAAGATATATTTGGAAAATAAAATAGGAGGGTGTGGAATCAAACAGCACAGACATAGGGATGTATACATTTATTTGAACTGTATAAAAAGATGTGTTGGCAGTGTTTTGCAAAGAACTTTAGTAAATAAGCATAAAAGGCTAATGGATAAATAAAAAATAAAATAACCTTTGACTTTGGCCATCTCCTGCATACACAAATCAATGTGCAATTAATGTGAGTATTTGATGAAATTCTTCAATGTTTTCCATCACAACCTTATTGCTTTACAGGTTTAATGAGTGGCTACATGGGACATAACATGGTGCACAATGACACTATCAAAGTCTAATTAAAAAGTTTATAATATTTGTATGTGTAAAAGACTTTTTTCAACAAATGTAGTAGCCGTTATCTTAATCTTAGGATCTCAGAATGAAGAAATATGTGTGGGTAGTGCAATTTTGTAGCCATATTATCCAATCTCTTATGAACCACTGTTGTAGTGCAGATAAATAAAGCTGCATTCTAGTCATTTTGTGACATCAAATACACATGTGAAATGTATTTATTCATTCATGTACTGTTTGTATGAAAGGATTACAAGAAATAGTTTTGCGCTTTGGGTTCAAATAATTTCCATGCTACAATACTGTAAGGCAGCACAAGTTTTTTTTGAAAAAACAATAACCATTCTTTTTATTAAACTTTCAAATTTTAGTCGTCCATAATACACCCAATTTAACACCCTAATAGTGACTTAATACTTCTTGCAAAACAGGGAAATAAGAAAGAGACCACATGAGCAAGAGGTCATTACTGAGAACAAAAATTCATTGTGAATGCAATGAATTTTAAACTGTAGATTCTAGATAACATTCTGTAATGTTAGGCTTAAATACTTTTTCATTAATAGTAAACCAGAAACTTTAAGCAAAGGAGCTTCCTATTCCAATCTGACAATGCATTTTATCTGAAACTCTGACACAAATCCCACACAAGTACAAATGCGGTGCACAACGCCCAAATAAAGGTTTTTGTATGCTTTGATTTTTACAAAATCGGCCAAAGACAGTGAAGGAAAAGCAACAGGCCCCCAGGACCACTCTTGAGTTCAGGCCCAAGTGGAAATTCAGAGTAAGTGTACAGATCCCATCTCAGTTCTTGATTACTCCTCCATCGCCCTCACTCACAAATCGCTTGCGTCCTCTGAGAGAACAAACACAAATATTAATTTTGGTTTAACCCTAACCCAAAAAGATTTTTTTTAGTACAAACCTGGAAGGACAAGCATCCCTCAGCTGTTTAGTGATAATTGCTTCTTGGTAGCAGAGGTCCACAAAGTCCTCCATGATAGTGTGAGCATGTGGCACATCCAGGCTAATCTCAGGGAGCTCGTCATACACTCGTTGGAAGCCCTGTCCAAACATATTCATGAAACAAGGCGTTAAAAAAAAATCAAAAAAAAAAAAAATCACTGTTGCACATAGAAATCCTTAAAATTCATGTTACAATGTCATTAGAAAACCTAAATTCCAACATACCCTATTCATTTGATCAATAGTGACCAGACCTGATTTCCAAAAGGACTGTAGCAGTTTTATCATATTTTTGCCAGAATTGTCCCCACTGGCCTCCAGCACCATTACTACAGCCTGAAAATGTAATCAAAAACAGAACTCAATTATTAGACACCATTGTTGTAAATATAACAACATATATAATATGCCATTTTGTGAGACTAGTGCCAGATAAAATCTAGATTCTAAAGAATATATTGAAATTCTATTCATCAAGAATAATAAGGAGAGTGGGCGCCAGATTGATCAACTATGACATAAAATACATGACAAACAGGTATTCACCTCATAAACGAGCTCATGGTGAAAGTGTGGAACCTCAAGGTCTCTCAGACAGTGTTCAGCCTCTGCTATATCTCCAGATATCAAGTACTCCTTCAGGAGCAGGTTCATCTGCAACAACACCACAAACTCATTCATGCACGTTTGGTATTCATACGAGACGTATGGTACACAAACCTCTAACTGAAACCCATGTCTTGTGTGACTTTTGATGGCATTGTGAAAATATAAAAACAAAGCCGTTCTAATCCTGTGAGGCATTTTACGTGACAATTTATGAAAATACTAAAAATACTCCACACCGATTTGACCGTGTAACAGAATAGGTAACAATATACATATCCAATGGTATTCTGTAACTAAACACATTTGCCAAGCATTCTTGACAACACATTTAGGCTGCTTCAATAGTTCCTTCAAATTTGATTCTGGCTCCATCAAATGTAATTCCTTTGAATCATTCCTAATGATTTAAAGACCATTGGGCTGCACAGAGCTATTTTCAGCACTGGACATCAGGAGGATGTCATGGCTGAACTTTAAGGTTATAGAGCTGGACAATTGGTCAGCACCAGTTGCACAGTTTATGTCAGCGAAACAAGTACACTTGATCACACAGACTGCTCAAAAAAAGACAATAGCAACTTGTATCAACAACGACCGTTTGGCTTTTATGAGAAAACAGCTCTCAAAAATTATTTAATTTATTTGAGAGATCAGAGGCACAAAGTGTGCATGTAAATTCACAGAGCAAAACAAAATTGTTGGGTATAAGGGGTATAATATGGATCAACCACACTGAAGCAATCTGATTTATCATGCCCGATAGAACTGAACCACTAAAACAGCACTCTCCATTTTAATTTTCAAGTCTCTGGAAGGTCTCTGAACACAGACACGCTGCAAAATTTGAGAAGAACTTTACACAAGAAGTAAGTAGTAGTAGTAGTAAGTAAGTAATCTTTATTTATATACCGCCTTTTCACTGCAGATCTGAGTCTCAAAGCGGTTTACAATTGTTAATTTTGGGCATTTGTCTCTCACTCCACACAGATGGGAGCGGGGCCAGTACAGGAGGCGCATGCTAGAACTACTGTACATATTTTTAGTGGTAGGGGAAACCGGAGTACCCGGAGGAAACCTACGCAGACACGGGGAGAACATGCAAACTCCACTCAGAAAGGCCCTGGTCCGACCGGGATTCGAACCCAGGACCTTCTTGCTGAGAGGTGAGAGTGCTATCCACTCAGCCACTGTGCCGCCCTAAGAAGCCACTTCCGGCGCGCGCCAGGACTTCTGGTCTGAAGACCCCTGCGTCTGAAAACTAGAGAATGTGCGTCTGGTGAGCAAGGCTTCAGCGTTCCAGCGTTGGCGGTCTGACAGCAGCATAAGCAGTAACCGGTAATGAAGACACAGGAAGCTTCAGGTTTGCCACCGCCATTGGCCAGTGGTACGCTTTGATTGGCCCAAATCTGGCCCCGAAATAAATTATCTTCCGCGCTGAGCAATTTTTAAAATCTAAAATAAAATTACACTCCAGTACAAACCTGCGCTACTTATTCTTCCGAAGGACGTATATCCCAATACACTGCATGGATATGGATTGAATTTTCCTAATGAATATAAAAATAAAGTGAGGTAGTCTAGCTTTAACTCACAAACACATAAACCCAACTACTCATGAACATGTATATAGTCCTAGCCTTTGCACAATGCATTTATGTCCTCGGTACTGCTTAACTTAATCCTACCTCTTTAACGAGATGTTTGACGGGTCTTAGGCCACCGCCAACGCCCCACACATTATCCAGACGAACAACTTCCTTCTTCATGGACAGAAGCACTGTGGCGCGGTCTAAAGCCACTCTGCAGACATAATCAGTCTTAGGTATTACTTCAAGTAAGACAAACCACACTGTAAATGTACATGCACCAGCTTTGACTCAGCATTGTTAGGTCGTGCGTCTAATGGCAGTTGCAAGGCACATACAGTTATGACCCTGACTTACCTTGCATGCTCACAGTCCACTCTGCCTCTATAACAGTCCAGGAAAGACGTGGGCAGCACATGGTCCGCTATTGCTCTGGCTATGAACTGGCCTAACATCTGGAAACAAAGACATTCATAATAATGTGTATAAAACATTACAATGTATTAAAGGCGGTGTGGATCCATCCATCCATCCATCCATTTTCTTCCCCTTAATCCATTTCTGGGTCGGGGGGTGGCAGTCAAAGCTGCACCCAGTACACATAGCACCAGCCCCTCACTGATCCTCCTGCAGGTGGTGAGTCCACAGGAGCTGAGATCTTTCTGTTGGGGCTTTGGGCAAAGTAGGGTTAAGTGTCTTGCCCAAGGACACAACGACAGCAGTCATCAGTGGGAGTCGTGAAGTAGGTCTTACGGTGGGCTCAAACCCACGACCTTCAGGCCCAAAGGCCAATGCTCTACCAACTGAGCTACTGTCGCCCCGCGGTGTGGATCGTTTTTGACAAATGGAGCCTTGTTGTAAGTCTAGTGTACCTGTGGGGCCTCAGGGGTGTCAAGGATCAGGTCCGGCAGTTCTTTGAGCATCTTGTCAAAGGCCCTGCCCATTTCACTTTTGGACATCATCTTGTTGGAGAGGTCTGAGAGCAGACGCGAGGTCAGCTCTCTGTGACTAGCTTTGCCTTCCAGAGACAGGGACACAGCCATAGTGGAAAACTCGTACTTGTGAGGGCCGAGGTTCAATTCCTTCAGCAACATCTGCAGCAGCAACAGACAACATGCTAGTACCAGTTTTAAATGATTTACTGAACACAATGTTCATATTATTGCCATTCCTTCTTCATTAGTTCATACCTCTACTTCTTTGGTGTCTCCATGTTCAAAGTACTCCTGTACAATCGGGTTGACCATTTTTTCAAGTTCCTTCTCATCTATTACCGGAACAACTGTCGCATAAACTGTGTCTCCCTATTGGGATGTATACAAAAGTGAATTACATATTTGTTTTTATAAAAATGTAGACAAATTTGTCACCAAAATTCTTTTGGACAGCCTGATTAAAAAGGCAATAGACAGCATGTTGTATTGTCACTGTGTTACCATGGCAATGTATGGAAGCATCCATGTTATTTATTCAATGATCACTTGTTGAATTGAGAAAATTGAAATATTTTTTTAAATGTAAGACAAATTGAATTGCATTTTCATCCAAGACAGAAATAGGCCTCGACAGAAATGACCTTCATAGTTTGAAGCCTGGTTCACACGGCAGGATATTTAGGCCGATTTAGACCCGATTTACCCCTTACGACAATCTTAAGAAACGCTCCAATTTCCGTAACAAAATCTTACAGATTATCCTGCCGTGTGTGGTGTGTTAAGACTGCACTCGTCGCTCGGAAGGACATCGGGACTGCTCCCGATCTCAAATCGGGGATATCCAACATGTTGGATTGTTTTGGCCCGATTTCTTGTCGTGTGTGGTGTCCTCCGAGGACAAGCGAGCGCGTTGCCATGACTACGGCGTGTAGCCAATAAGAAGACGAGGTGACAAGCCGGTGAGGAAACACCGGAAAAAAACCAAAACACAGCAGCATGGCTTTGACCATTGCCTTTTCTTTGGATTACGTGTCTTCTCGGTTAACAACAAACTGCACACTATCGCCACTGCATCCTCTTCGTCCGCCATGACTGTTTACTCTGAAGTCACGCTTGATCTCGAGAGATTTTGTGAGATTTCCGTCTGACCTGGGAATGCTCGGGGGGGGGGGGGTGTCAGTTCGTGTGTGATGTTTGTGGCTTGCGTGATCTTGCCGTGTGGCTACGCACCACACACTGCACGACCAAAGTGGTTAGACGCAGGATTTTTAATCTCCCCGTGTGGGGTCTAACACGGAGAAAAATCGGCCGACAATTTTAAAATCGTCTCGTGTGAACCAGGCTTGATAGTTGAAGTTAAAGATTAAAAAAGTGACTGATTAGTCTGGGACTCTACCATCTGTGTGAATCAGTCAGGTGTTTCCCTTGTTTAAATTTTTTTTTTTTGCAGGCTCCAAGTTACAAACAGTTAACATCAGCGCATTTATGTCACAGAGAATCCCTGCTTAGAACTTTGGCCTCTCTGGACAAAAAGCTGAATCCACAACAGGCCTGACCAACTGCTGTCACTGTCAAAGTAGAGCATCAATAACAAAGTGACTGCTGGGTGCAACAGTCCCTACACTCCTGAATGTGCATGACTCTCAGAGGCCATGTATAGAAATGAGTTACTGTTGATTTTGTGACTAAGTACAAAAGTGTATTCTAAGTTTATTTCTCACTTTCCACACATTTTCTGACATATATATTGAGAAGATTTTCAGTTTCAACATGTTCTAGTGCAGTTTGACTGTCAATGAAAGCTAAAAAGAGTAGCTGCATTAGTGTAGCCACCCCAATATTTCAGGCAATAATGTTCTTACGAGTTCTGTTAGTTAAATGCGTTAATAACAACAGTAACTATCCCCAGGCCAAAATCTTAATGCTATAGTAATTTCCGTACGTGATAGTCATATACACTTTAAAAAAAAATCCCATTGTCTTTAATGAAAACAAACAAAATGGCAGCCATTATTAGACAATTAAAGTCATTTCTACTATGTTAAATAGTTCTAAACTGTCAAAAACAATAACAAAAGCAGAGATTGAGTAGCCTATATTAGACAATACGAATACTTTCTTTTTTGAGGGGATTGGATTCAAATAAACTACATACTACATAAAAACTCAAAACTGTAATTTAATTGAAAAATTGAGCTCATTGATTCAGCTTATTTATGAATTCAGGCGCTGCAAAATGCTGAGCTGACACTTTGCGCGACGCTAGTTCTTCACTTGCACAACGAAGGGCAGAGCTGTTTCAAAACAGGCCGCCTCCTCTCGTGCCAACCCAGTGCAGGTAAACAGAGCAAGCATGACAGCCGAAGGAGGATCAACGCAGAGAGTGGCTGTACCTCCTCTGGCTGCCCATAACAGCCCAAAAAGGCACAAAAGTGAGGAGGAGAAGAGGGAACTAAAGCGAAAAAACAATCAAGCCTAGGTGAATATACGTAGCTTACATCATATCCTTGCTGGAGAGACCTGCGGTGCGGGACTGCCTCAGACTACTTTCGGACACGAAACTGGCGGCTATTCTACTTGATAGGTAATTTTTCAGTTATTGCTGTGCAACTTAAAGGTACACTGTAGTTTTTACTCCCGTCTAGTGTTGCGATCATATATTTCAGTCCAGGGTACTACGGAAGCCTTCCATAGACAATATGTCGTCTTTGACAGTGCTCCTCAACTCTCAGTCATTCACCAGGGCCAAGGAAAGAATACTTTAGTTTGATAAATGACCGGATCTCTCCAAACGTCTCGGGCACTTTACACAATCGCATGGAGGTGACATGTAAACAAGACCACGTTTTGAAGCAGTACCCGCTGTACAGAGGCTCTAATTAGCTTTACCATGGTAAAAATATATACCATATTATTTTAATATAGAGTTTGACAAACGAGGTGTGAAGAGAAGAGACGCGTGGAGGATTAACTTCTGCGGGAGCTTAAAACTACATTGATCAAAGAAATAAGACATATACACAGCCGCAGAAGGACACGGCTAAAAGCGCCCCATCTGTATCACGGTAATAAATTGCGATTGTTTTGTGGGAATTCTGTGTGTTTTATTTGAGGCTTGTCCCTGAATAAGTTTGGTTGAAACTTGTGACATAGTAGTTGGACAGTGTTCGGATCGGGTCAGAACATCCCGAGACCCGTTTTACAGATTCTGCCTCGTTCTCACTACTGTCAATGTGAAAAAAGTCATGTTGTGTACAAACTACACAATGTGCCTCCTGTTGTTTTAACTCTTTAAGTCTTTCGGTGCGTGTGGTTTGCAATGTTGACAGTTTGCTGTTAAGATGGCGGACTTTTGCATAATTATTTTTTAAGTTTGTTCTTCGGGTCGTCCTTTTAAAAAGATCACATTTGTTTTTGGTTAAATGTTTTTTTCATATTGAGCAACAGTAAAAATGACACAGAATGGCATTAACAGAACTTGTGCTAATGCTTATGTTTTTATACCTATTAGATTAAATTAGATTAAACTAGATGGCTCTGTGGGAGGAGAGCTTAGGGGAGAATAGGAGAGTTTCTCAGAATGAGAAGCCTGTGAGCGAGTTGAGGGGCTAAACATTCAAACTGAAAAAAAAAAACAGTTTTAAATGGGGTATTGCTCTTTTAAGTGATCGGCCGCGTTTGTCTATTCATTCAAGCCATTTTTGTATATTTGGTATCCTATTTTAAGTTGAAAATATGCAGCGTTTGATATGATCAATAATTGAATAAATGTCAAGGAAACCACTGTATTGGCACACTGAACAAGTAATTCCTTTTTGTTTCAGATTATTGCATTGCACGCAAATCCAAAAAATAATGCAAATGGTTCTTACCAGGTTTTGTATTGTTGTAAAATATGGTTTCCGACAAGTTACCACATAACTTTTAGGTGTGAGGGTAAAACAGTTGCTCATGACACACCATCTTGTGTTTGGTGTGCAGTTACCTGAGAAGATTCATCGTAATTGGGGTCCCGTACGTCGGGTTCTTCATCTTCATACACCATTCCTGCAGCACCCCACACTCCTTTACCCCCCGCTCCACCTAAGGCAACAGCAAAGACAATCTTAGGACTGATAATACTTAAGAATTCAATATATAACAGAACAAATAATGAATAAAACTTTCAATAAAATAGGAAGAGACCAACAGACCTTTCTTTGGTAGCCCACGACCTTTTCCCATCCTGGATTTGCGGTCACTGGTGGCGACCTTGCCCTTTGGACTGTGTGGATCACCCCCTCCTAACTCCCCAGACTCTGAGATGGAGTCTGAAGTAGAGTTTCGGGACGAGGACTTGCGTAGACGCCGCTTGGCTTTGGCTTTGAGTCGGGCCTCATGCAGGGCTTTCTCCTGAGGAGTCCAGTTACCATTGACCTCACTCTCATCCAGCATATCTTCATCATCGCTGCAATGTCTGTCCACCCTGGACAACTTCTCATCAGAAAAAACCATTCCTGTGAACAGAAGAGGGGGGGATCTGATCAAATACAACCTCAAAGGTGGAAGTGATGCCATCCATCCATCCATCCATTTTCTACCCTTTAATCCATTTCTGGGTCAGGGGGGTGGCAGTCAGAGATGCCACCCAAGTCTCATAGCACCAGCCCCTCACTGACCCTCTGCAGGTGGTGAGTCCACAGGAGGACGGCTGCTCTCTGACTGTGAGCATAGCCTTGATCTTTCAGTGGGGGCTTTGGGCAAAGTGGGGTTAAGTGTCTTGCCCAAGGACACAACGACAGCAGTCATCAGTGGGAGTCGATGGAGAAGGTGCAGAGGTGGGAATTGAACCCACGACCTTCTGGCCTTAAGGCCAATGCTCTACCAACTGAGCTACTGTCGGAAGTGATGCCATGTATTATAATTATAGCTCATGTAGACAAAATAAAATTAAATGACTAATTAATAATAATACACTAGGTTGCAAAGGTGTTGATACAAAGTAACAAACTGAATATTGGGGTTTGCAGCACTTCCCAGAATGCATTTATTAGCCTTTGAAAATGTCCTGTATTAGTAACTAAACCCATCTCAAAGCCCAAATAATGGTTTTAATACTTCCACTTGTATATGCACTACTGTATGACATATACAATGGTGCCGCCAGGCAGGGTTCTGATTGGGAACCCCTGAGCTAAAGAACCAAAGTTTTAAGCCCGTGACCCCCATGATAAATGCGCTGCTCCCCCGCGACCCCACAGTCACAATTAAACAATTAGTCCTTTTGAATCAAATCAAATGCAAAATAAATATTTGCCTTTGAGTTATAAAGTGCATCTTTAAAAATGAAGCAGCAATGGTTTTGGGCAGTCTCTTCTTGAGATAAAGGTCAAAACACAACATGATGTGTGTGGGAGTTTTGCAGCTACGCAAGGACAGAGTGACAGGGAACACATGCTCTGCAAGCAACGACACTTGTTTTTAGTCAAGTCTTCTCGCGAGTGGCGTTCCCCTACTGGACAGAACCCGACTTCATATGACCTGGTCATGGCCTCGGACAAGTCACATGCCTGTACTGTAAAAGAGAGGGGCACCCAAGGCAGGAATGTCTTGGGTGTGTAATGAATACTTGCATGCATTTCTATGTGTGGGCCCAAGTACTGGTCCTAACAATTTAAGGCTCTACAGGAGGAAAATGCATGCAAAATAACTAAAATGCACAATGTTGCTAAAGTTTGAATAAGTATCATTTAAAACATCTTACAGACGAATAGTTCATATCTTTACTATTAGATACACCCTTCAACCTCCAAAAGCCTGTAAACAACTGACCACGTGTCCTCTCCTGTAGCTCCTCCCTACTCCCTGAATGCAGGCCACAGGCTGTGCAAGAGCAATAAATTAGAATTAGCCAATGGCAACATGACAAACATACAACCAGCCAATAAGAAAAAGACATGAAAAGGCACATAAACAGAATGTGTCATGACCAGAGTTGTTTAACAAGTTCCACAAGATACAGTTTCTCCAGGTTTGTCCTATAGACTTTAAAACATTTGAACTGTTTTTGCAAATCTTTTGCCAGAATAAACAGGAATTTATATTTGCTCTTCACATCCAAACGCTGCACTTTAACCCAATGTGCAACCCTCGGGTTAAAAGAAAAGAAAAATACCATAAATTAGGGTCTACCATGGTCTAAATGATTCAGGGCCGGCCGGAGAAGTTAGGAAAAGCATCAAAATTCACCCCTTCAAATGTTTACGGTATTTTTTAATAACAAGGGCTAAACAGGGACTCAGATCTCATTTGGTGGCAGTGTTCCACAATCAGTAGTGCACAAGCCTGATCTGATATCCCCAAGTGTTTAACAGTCCAGTATCGCTGGACGTTGACCTTGAAATCATATCCTCAACCTTTACCCTATTCTTTGCCCTAAACCTCACCCTTTCTTAACCCCAAGAATAGTAAGCCCAAAGCTTAACCCTGACCTCTACCCCCTCACCCAATGAATTGATCCTGGGAAAACAACTTTGACATTAATCCTTGACAGTTTAGTCAAATCAGATTATTTCATTAAAATTGTTTATCGTATTGATATCATGTTACAGACAGCAATGAAACTAGATTTGATACAGTGGACCACCAAATATTAATTTGGTTAACTGCATTTTATTTTTCAGATGAAGCAAACAGATTGTACATATTGTTCAATACAGTAGCCATTATACACTGACATTTTACTTAATTTACAGTGAACTCAGATTTTCCAGGATTTCTGAAATACACATTTATTTATTCTGCCCATATCCTCCTGCTTCAACCCCAGTTACCATTTACACAATGAACTTACTTTAAAGATAAATTAGATACTATATATATATTTTTTTTGCTCATAGCCTTTAAACCTCACTAAAAGTGCTACATTAAATCAAAGCATTATTATTATTATCATCATTCATATGAAGTTATTTATTCCGGTTTTGTGCGCTCTTATTCCTTCTGTCCTGTGTGTGCATGTATAATGCAACACTTTCCCCATTGTGGGACAAATTAAGTTTATCTGATAGTGTGTATCCGTCAGGTGTACAAGCCTTTTTAGGCAGTCAAAATGGAGTACCCAAGGCTCTATACTAGGGTCCATCTTAAAAAGGTATTTAGAATAAGTATGCACAAGGAATAACAAAATTGAGATTAGAATAGGAACAGACTGAAAACATCTATCATTTTCATCAAGGGGATGTTTTATAGCATGTCATTTCTCTCATCCAAACTTCACACTGTGGTTCTTTCACTCAACTGAAGCAGGGACATAAGCATAAAGGACATTTGTCTTGTACATCCTAAGGGATCATTTTAAAAGCATCAATCCATTGGTCAAATGTTGTCAATCTTGAAACTTTTAAGGCCCTGAAATTGGCTCCATTAAATATAATAACTGATTTAAAGACTGCATGGCTTCCCTGGGTGTGTAAAAAGAAAGTCACAATACAACTGTATGATCCTGCCCAGATTATCTCGAAACAAAATATATGGGTGTGGAAGTCGCTGGGGTTTAACTGTAATGTCCAGAGACTTTTAGTTTGCTTAAAGAAGCTATACCCCATTTTTTTCTAATGCGTTCATAAAAATGCTTATTACTACATACAAGTTGTATTATAATTCGTAATTCGATCGAAAACTTGAGCTCATTGATTCAGCTTGTGTATGAATTCAGGCCGTATAAAAGTGCTGCGTAGAGACTTAGCGTGACGCTCGCTCTCCTCCACTTACAGAACAAGGAGCGGCGCTGTTACGAGCAGGCGGCGTCCTCTAGCCTCTACAGCGCTGCTAAACACAGTAGCATGTTAGCAGAATTGGCTCTAACTCCTCTTGCTGTAACTTCATACACAGCAAAACAGCCCAAACGACACAACAGTGAGGAAGAGAAGAGGGAACTAAAGTGAAAAAATGATCAAATAAGAAATCAAGCCTGGGTGAACGTAGCTAGCTTACATCGTATCCTCTGGAGAGACTTGTCTATGGGAGAGACCTGCGGGACCGCCTCGGACTACATTCTGACGCAAAACTAGCGGTAATCTTTCAGTTATATCTTGTTAGCTGTGCGTTGCTTATGTACCATTTCATCAGTGATTGTTGTACAGCTTACAAGAAGTTGCGCTCATGCGAATGTTTGTATATAGATCAAATAAAACTAGATGGCTCTGTGGAAAAAAGTTTAGGGGAAATGAGAAGCCTGTGAGCGAGTTGAGGGCTGTGCTAAACATTCAAACCTTGTAGAAACGCGTATAGCTCCTTTAAAGTGCAGTAGAGAACACCATCAGCTGTCTTACAAGGTTTGTAAGGTAAAGCATTACTTTGGGTTATGACTTGAGTTGATGTTTATTTTGAATGGTCCACTGTGCATTTATAGAGATGTGTTGCGCGCAAACTAACATTTTGATCCTTGCGTATTTGGTTTTAGTAACAGAAGTGTATGTGTGTTCATGTATATGTTTGATTGGGGGAAATAAGTAAACATAACACAATGTCAGATGCATTCAGGGCTGCTTCATGTTTAGGGGGTACTGAGCTTCCCCCTCTGTGTACATTTGAGACTCTGGATGATTTCATAAAGGAAAGTTCTTATGCCTGTCAATAATAGTGCAGCTTTCAACCCAAACCTTTGTGTACATTGTAGTGTGTGTATCACATATTTCATCAACACTGTTTTATTGGTCTGTGTGAAGCACTTTGGGACCCTCATCTGCTTATTTGTGTAAACTGTTCCAAAGTATTGTTGAAAATTAGGATTTTTTAATGTTAATATTAAAAGGTGTCAGTTTGTGTGGTAAACAATCAAACTGTTTTGCATGCTGTTTCAGCCAAAAAAGTTTAACACATAAAATATGGCAATCACTACGTTGCAACTGTTTTTGGAACATTTTACTCCTGAGGACAGGAAGCTCCGCCCATTCTTCAGCTCCATAGTGGCACACTGTCTGGAATTATAATACTTTTATTTACCCCTACGAGTTTTGACTCCTGGTAGTCTTTGTCGGGGCATTGATATGAAACACTGCTGGTGCAATAACTACCGATCAACAGACTCATTTTCTGTAACCCATTTTAGAAATAACAGAAATAGGCATGTGGACCATTTTATTTAGCTAAGGGGGAAAATGTCATACATTGTTGACATACAATGGGAACAGGGCCTTTATGAGTGGAGTTTGCATGTTCTCCCTGTGTTTGCATAGGTGATCTCCGGGGGCCCTGGTTTCCCCTACCATTAAAATCATGTACAATAGGTAAATTGATCCAGCTCCAGCATCAGTATTGGGAGATGGGTCCCCGGAGGCTGTAATGTGGCAGCCACTACACCCGAATCAAGTAAGTAAGTAAGTAAGTAAGTTTTTATTTATATACCGCCTTTTCACTGCAGATCTGAGTCTCAAAGCGGTTTACAATTGTTAATTTTGGGCATTTGTCTCTCACTCCACACAGAGATGGGTGCGGGGTCGCCAGTACAGGAGGC